GAGGTAGAAAGCGAAAGAAAGAATGAGAAAGAAAGAGAGAGAAAGAGAAAGAAAGAGAAAGAAAGAGAGAGAAAGAGAGAGTTTGAGAGAGAGAGACAGGGAGAGACACGGTAGAGAGATGAAAAGAGAGGAGACAGAGCGAGGAGAGAGTGCCTCTCCGCGTAAGTTGAGTTCACGTGTTACAAACGAGGAAACAGAGTAACAAAACTGTTCAAATCAAAATAATAGTAAGAAGCGTACTTTTACAATTCATGTCAGATGAAGGCCTACCACTGTATTTTTTTTTCTCAATACAACTGCAGAAAATATGTCGTTTAATTTCGGCACGTATTGCTTGAGTTAAAATAGTACAGCAAGCTTTCATTCATTCTCTGTTCTAAAATATTTTTGTCCCTCGTGATGGTGGGTTAAAAACGGTTGATAACAATATGTTGTTGAGAAAAAAATTGGTTGGCAAATATTAGTTTAAATACTTAAACAACACTGACGATTGATGGTTTTAAACATTTGCGAAGAGTTCTCAGCTCCTACTTAGATCCATGAGAACTGTACTGTGCACTGTGCACACGCTTGCTGCTCCCGCCAGCGGCAACAGAATGGCGAGCGCTCTACTCCGCCGGCCGAATTCATCGCCGGGTGCAGATTAAATGGACCTCCGGGAATTTATCGCATCGTTATACGGCGTGTACAAGTGGCTCTACCGCCAGGTGAGTGTACATGTGCGTGTGCGTGTGCGTGTGTGTGTGTGTGCGCGTGCGTGTGTGTGGAGGGGGGAGAGGGCCGTGTGTGCGCGCGCGTGCAGGGCTCGCGTGGATGGAAGGGCAGGCAGCCAAGCTGGAATAAAGGTTCAGACCAGCGAGCAAGTAGCCGGGGCACCGTACTATGGGTACGACAAGGGGGCCCCACAAAGATTGGCGCGGTGCAGGGCGAAGGAGACAAATTTAATTTTGCCGCTATACGGGGCATCTCTCTTGGCGGCGCGACGTGGAGAATGTGAGACGAACAAAGGGGAATAGAGGAGAGGGAGGGAGGGAGGGAGGGATGAAGGGAGAGAGAGAGAGAGAGAGAGAGAGAGAGAGAGAGAGAGAGAGAGAGAGAGAGAGGAAAAAAGGGCGGTAGGGTCAGGTATTTTTCGTTCCCAACTTGCCTTTCATGCCTCTTCGGATTATTAGATATAGCCTCTCCTCTTGTCCTTCGCCATTATTGTTCGATGTAAAACCGAACGGAAATAAAAAAACACGTCCATTAGCAAAATTCGTAAAATATATACTTGAGTTAAAAAGAACCTAGACGAATAATCGCGAATAATATTCTTTTACTTACTTTGACAAAACCTAACACTCTCATATCCTTATGGATGTGCAATCAGTATACTTATAGTAACATATATGTTACGATGAATTTTGTGCAAACGTATTATATGGATCACAAGTCATCTATAATACGGATAAAATTGTCCGTATTACACACACTTTGATCCATATTACAGACATGCCCTTATCCATAAGGTATGGCCGAAAGGTGAATGGCCTTTTCACGAATACAATCTTATAGGATATGTACAATGCTATGGCAAAGACCGTAGAACAACGACGAGTAGACTTAGTGTGGCAAGACTGGCTTCCACCAAGGCCGAGATCTCAATCGATCATACTGAGTTTTCTTTTATTTAGGCATCACTTGTCGTTGGGGTTAATTTTGGCAGCGCCTTTGAGCTGATAGCAAATAAATAACACTTTATTTACTTCGTCCCCATTCCGACTTTGCTCGTTTCCCCTATACAGCATGACCGAGTAAACACTATTGGATAAATCAGGCTTCTGAGCTGTAACCTGTATCCCACATTTACGATACGACGACATCAAAGTGTTGCACACCACACCACACCTGTTCGGCCGCTGGCACGTCATCGTCATGCACCATATCGTCGAAGTCGGCGGCCGGGACGATCTGGTGGTCGGACGACGACATCGCACACTGTGGGGCCTAAGCCCCGTCCCTCAAGCTCACACGCGTCTACCTCACGTGCGGGCACCGGCACCGCTATTGTTACGCACAATATTATTCGACAAGGACGACCTGGAGGTCGGGCCCGTTCGGGTCAGGGCGAGGTCGGCCAGCACAGACGAGGCTGCTGGCCGGGGATCTACTGCGGGAGATCTCTTTCTCTCTCGCCTGACCCCACCGTTGGAGCTCGCCGCTCACCGAGACCAGGTCGGGACGAGGGGGACGCCGCGAATAGAACCTCTCGCTCACTCTCCTCTGGGGCCTCCTCTGTGTTGGACTCCGGTGTGTTTAGAATCGAGATACAAACAAGTCATCACACACATGTACACAAACACACACACACACACACACAACAGAGCGGCCTGCCAACGCCGTCGGCAACGTCTCTATAGCCTCCCTCCCCCCTGACGCTTCCCCGCCTGTGAGAGTGCGAGGAGTTGTTTCTAGTCCCGCACTCCAGACGGCTCGGCTCGCCTTGAACTACTGACTGCTCGCTCTGCGCCCCCCTCAACAACTCCCCCCGCCCCCGATGTCGTATTCTATACCCTCCCCGAAGCAGCAGCCGTCGTTCGCACCGTTATACGATGCGCTCGGTTGGCGCTTTTATACGCTTCGATGGCCAAGCGCAGAGCTAAGTGGCTCCGCTGGTCACCACCACACCCTCAGCTGGTTCTGGTTCTCTGCTCACCTCCTTGTCCGGCATGGCGACCCTCTTCTCCGGGGCCTTGCCGCTGGCCGCTGGCTGACCTCCGCTGCTGCTGCTGTTGGCCACCGTCGGCGCGGCCGCGGCCGACTCCTTGACGGCGGCCTTGTCCGCCTGCTGGCCGGAGCCCGACCCCCCCGTTGGGGTGGTCATGCCGAGCTTCGTCAACGCGGCGGCTGTTAGGGGGCGGCGGGGGCGGCTGCTGCCGGGCTGGAGCTGTCGCGGGGGCGGCTGCGCTACGGTTGCGGGGGCTGCTGTGGTCGCTGCTGCGGGGGCTTAACTAAATGTTACCGGGGAAAAAATGGAAAAAAAAAAAAAAACTATGAAAAAACTTATCGACCCGTTACTGACGGTTGGTCAATTCATGTGACGACACATTATTTTGTGAAAATTGTCACTTTATGTTTCATGTCAATAACGGTGATACTGAGATGTTTTCATTAAAACTTTGTTGTTCAACGCTTTTCAGACACAATTATGGGCATTTTCTAAGTTTTTTAAATTTATATTTGTAAATTTTGCATAAAAATTCCGTTAGCCTACTTTCTTAATTTATTTACATCTCCAACGGGGCGAGTCTCATGCTGCTGCGAGGGACCCGCCGGCGCGGAGAGAGGCGAACCGCATAGGCCGCTAGGAGTGGAGCCCCGAAAGCTGCGGATGTCGGGGGGCTGGACCAGACGGCGAAATAGGATTT